CATAGGGCTCGCCTAGCTTCGGTTTCCAAATTTCGGCCACCATTTGATCGAGGTAAGTTAGTTTTTTCTAGTTTTTTTTTTCTTGTTTTGGGTTCGGCAATGGTTATAAGCAACTGGGTTTGAAACTCAGGTTGCTGGTGAGAGAGATAGGACTCGAAAGGGTTCGGATCCTATCGCGATTGGGCCTGGCTGAGGGGAGGGGGACACGCGGGCCAGCCCAGGCTGGGTAAGCCAGAAGATCAGGGCGAGTTGACTTGGAGAGTCAACTCAGCCCTGTGTTTTAAAAGGGGACAAGTCAACCCATCTGGGTTAACTCAGAGAGGAATTGGGTTATGCTATCCCCGAGGATAGGCTAGCCGGGATAGGAAGAGAGTGGGATAGTAGAGATTTAATAAACTAGATTTTATTAATTAAATAATAAGAGTTAGGGCTCTGGGTAGTGTGAACCGGTCAATGTTGACCGAGGATTTGACTAGTCGGTTTGGGACTTTTTAGACCGATTCTCTCGTTGATTGGACCAATTCCTACTCTAGTGGGTTGGGGGCTATCAGACCAGGTGGTTTTGGAAAATTTTGGATGGGCGGTTCAAGGTGAACCGGTCGGTTTTAATGTAGCACCCTTTGGGTGACGGTTCACCAGTTTTTAGGCCGATTCTTGGGGAAGTTGAAACGGTTCCTTATTCAACATGATGAAACCTAGTTAACCATGTAGTTTGGTAAATTTTGGGTGATTGGTTCAAGGTGAACCAGGCTCGATTTGTATGCCAGTGCTTAGAATTATGGTCCTTGGCCCAGTTCAGGGCTGGTTTAAGGCCTTTTTAGCTGGTTCAGGTCGGTTCTTAGGATTTTGAGGCCTTCTAAATCTAATTTTGAAAGTTTCATGGCCGATCCAGTCAAGTTTGAGAAAGTTTTTAAGCCGATTTAGGCTAGTTCGAGAATTTTGGGAGTCGGTTCTTTTGGTTCAAAGGTTGTGGAGGCTGATCCTTTATAATTGAAGGTTGTTAAGCAGAGTTGTTGAGTATTAGTGAGTCATGTGGGTCTTAGTGATGGGTAGCCATGTCTTGAGTTGCATGCCAAGGTGTTGGGAGTGAGATTTGAGCTGGTTTTAGGCTATCGAGCTCATTTCTTGTGTTGATTTTGGCAATGGGGATGGTTTTGTGTGGTTTTGATTGCAGATTCGCCGGTAGAGGCACACCCAGACCACCGAGTCGGGTGAAGTGACTCATGACATTCTTTTTTGACTCGGCTTGTATGTGAGTGATGATACCCTCTCTATGCTTGCATTTTATACTATGTTTTCCTGGCATTGCGGACTTTATGTGTTTTCTCACTGTATTTTGGTCTACACTACTTGGGATATGTGGTATTTGTTTGTTTGTCTTTTTTTTATTTTTTATTTATTTTTATTTTATAAACTAACAATGAGCTATGTTAGTATATTTGTCATTGATTTTCGTGATATGACGATGTATACATATGTATATATCTATTGATTGACATGTGGGAAGTTGTGCTATGTGATGAGACTATTTTGCTTTAGCTGTAAGATGGAGGATGCCTCAGGCCAAGAGCATGACATATGATTCAGTTGAGCCGATCGTGAGACAGAGGATTCCTTTAATTGGGAGATGGTTATCTAATATGTTTGTGATATCTCCGATCGTGAGAGCCACAAGGATGGAGTCTCATGGTGAGATTTGCTGTACTCCCATGTGTTGTTTGATGTTGATATTGCTTACTGCATGTGTATATATGTGTATGTTTTGATTTGGTTATGTGATACATATCCATCATGCATAGTTTATGTATCATTCCTATTTATTGAGTTTTGTGACTCATACTTTATTATTCTTCTAGATTGACTTGACCGTCCATCTTCCTGATAGCAGTTTCAGAGCTACGCTTTCACGAGTCGATTGACATACATGCGAGTTTTATTGTTTATTTATTTTTGTACTTTACAACTCTCTATATCACTCAGATAGGGTTCTGTTTGTATTTTGAACTGTATGTTATGCATGTATATGAGTTGTTTGATTTTTGGATGTGGATTTGTTGTTGTGAGACTAATTAGGGTTGGAGACTCTAGTGCCGGTCATGGGCCTGGGTTTGGGTCATGACATTTGCTTTAAGGAATTTTTTTAATAAATCTAAAAAATTGAAGAATCCAACCAAATTAAATAGTTCCACTTAGTTTTGGTTTGGCTAGACTTTTCAAACATGTCTATTTGATTCAAATTAAAAAATTGAAATTAGAATGTCCATTTTAATTTGATAAAAATAAACTAAATTATATCAAATTATTTACAAGCCTAAAATCCATCTATTCTCTATTCATCTTAAGGTAAAGGTGTTCAAAGTGCAATTTAATTTGCTTTAAAACTCAATTTTAAGCTAAATTATTCTTTACAAATTGTGATTTATGGAAACAAAAACCTATGTTCTGTAGTTTGATTCAGTTTTAAAATACAGTTTATGATATGCTAAAATGGAATGACTTAAATTTACTACTTTTATAAAAAAGTTTGATATTTTTTTTTAAAAATCAAACATTCAATTTATTTAATAAATTTATTATCTATCAACTAATTACAATAGATATATATTATATTGTATACGGTAGAATTTAAATTCATATTGATAAAAATAACTTATTAAGAAAAATAAATTATCAAGAAAATATAAATATAAAAAATATAAAAAAGTATACAGTCAAATAATAAATATAAAAATAAAATATTTAATTATATATATAAATTATATAATATAATATAATTTATATAATTTTTTAATAATCAAACTTTAAACAAAATTATACAAAAAATATATTTCTAAACCAAATTAAATTAAATTAAATCACAAGCCAGTTAGTTTTGATTTTTTTAGCGCCCGGATTGGGGGAGGCCCGGTCATATTTAATAATCTTAAAAAAAAAAGACAGCCCTCACAACAATAAAGTTGCTTGAGGGAGTGGAGGAGCAACAGAAGCAGGCCAGGGTGGAAGTGTGGAGGATGATGTGGCGATGGATTGTCTTATATATATGGACAATTATGCGGTGTCTTTTTTAAAAGAAGGATACCGGTACAATCCCTCTCACAATGTGGTAGACTTTATTGTCGGGCTCCTTACTTTGTGAGGAGGCTTCACTGTCGAATCCGCCCCTTCCCCTTCACAGAAGGGGAGAATTGTACCCGTGCCCTCCCTTTTGGAGGGCACTAGAGTGTTCACCTAAATATATGTATATATATTGGCCACAGAATTAATTTATAAATTTGAAGTTTAAACTGACTGCCACGTGTGCATTTGGTGGGCTTTTGGTTTACAGAAGTCAATAAAGTCGCAATATAAAAAAAAAGTAAGTAAATTACGTAAACCAATTGGACACATTAAACATTGGGTGACCTCCCAAATACAATTACTTAAATACCCTTACTCACATTGAAAAACATACCGAATATATATGTCAGAGGTCAAAGGGCATAAATGAAACTTCACTAATATTTCACTAATCACTAGCACAGTTTACAAACTTGTCAGGGCTATTTAAGTAATTTTAATTTTCCTTGGTAATTTATTCGAGCTAATAAATTGGTATAAGTTAAGAGGACGCACTAAAATAAAAGAATATATACGCAAATAAAACTAAAGAAAATGCATGAAACCTATTTAGTATTATTAGATTTTTTGGAATTAATTTTTTTATAATTATAAAAAATATTATTTATCAGAACAGCATAACATATTAGCCAGCAATCATTCAAATTACACAAATGGACTACCCTATAAATTTTAATTTTTTTAAATTTAAAAATATTAAAGAGTCAATTTTTTTATTAAAAAAAACTTACCATAAAATATAATTTGTAATTTATATATATTGAAATAAAACTTAGAGGATGGTTCTAAATATTTTGTAAAATTAGTAATTGAACTTAAATAAAAGTAGGTAAAATATATTATAATTGAAAATTAAGTGTATAATAAAATATATTATAAAATTTTTAGAAATAGTAAAATATGTGTTTGAAATATAACATTTTTAATTTTTTTAAAAAAATAAAAAATTTAAAATTTCAGCAAAGTAATTTTGATTTAAAAAATTGAAAATGTTTAAAATTTTTTAATTTAATTATAATAATATCACTCCTAACTAAAAACACAATTTAGTCTTATAAAATTTACTTTTAATATTTTTATTTAAAAAAAAATACGGGTCAGAATAAATTTTTAAATATTTTAAAAATAATTATATATATTAAATTTACTTTTTAGAAATTATTGCAATCACCACAGCCATCATTTTTTTTTTTTTTTTTAACCCCTTTTTCGGCCAAGTTAGCAAACAGGTGGTAAAAGAGGAGTAAATTCTTCCCCTTCGGTTTTTACGGAGAAACTGACGCCGAACTTCACCGAAGTCCCTCGTAACTCGGAATACCAGATAACCCCCACTATTGTACAATATTTCTCCAATAACCCTGCATTTATGGCAGTCACATCAAGGGTATTATCGTAATCTCCGAAAAGCGCAAGGGCATTGGAATCCCAAAAATATCCGCGCCACTTTCTCTCTCTGTCTCTCACAAAGCTGAAACGTCTCGGTCTAGGTTCTATCGATCTCTCGGTCATCATTTAATCTAAGCGGTCCGTTTTCTTCATCCAACGGCTCCCAAAAGTCGGACAGTAGTTGCAACCCGCTCTCATCATAAACCCTAGAACGCTCGTAACCTTCCGCAGCTCTTTTTTTTTCCCCTCCTCTGGCGACAGGGAACTCTCGACCTCTTCGATCTTTGGTCTTCTGCTGAGCGAACACGAGGGGACATGTTAGATCGATAGTATGTGCCTCTCGATTGCGTTGTGTTTTGGTTCAAAATGAGATTTTAGGCATCGATTCTCCTCCATAAGCTCTTTCTTAGGTATGGTCCCTTGTAATCGATGCGTTGTCGGCTGATTGTATAATATGTCGGGAATTTTTTTACAGCGAGAGAGAATTCGAGTGGCTCATGAGCGATGCTCTACAAGTTATATGATTAAACGTCTCGAACTCTTGAACAGTGAACTCTGTAGTAAACAGTCCGAGTAGCTGCCGAATCGGATTTTGAAGATCGGGGCGTTTGGTTGGGTGGGAGAAGCTGTGAATCGAAGGGGAAAGATCGAGTTAGAGGTTTTGCCTCGTGGGAACCACGCGCCCATGCCTTCCGTGGGGATGAGAAGGACTACAAGGGTGTTCGGGGCGAGGTGTTGAGGTCTGGAAGACGGTTGTGGTCTGGACCAGGTGAGGGCAAGCACCTCAGAGCAGAAGCCACTGCCGCCGCTGCAAATGGGGAAGAGTGGATTGAACTCCTTGACAATTCTGGGAACCACGGTGGAGGTGCTGATGAAATTCCATGCAAGGAAAATGGGTGGCGACATGATGCTAGGATGAAGCAGGACGTCCCTACAACGGGCATTGAGGAAAGAAAAATGGAAGCCAAATTGGTGGGAAAAGCGAATAGTAGTGTAGATAGGATGTGGGGTTCCGTTTACCAAAGGAAAAGAAAGAGAATTGATTCAAAAGGTTTTGATTTAGAAAGTAATTGTGTGAAGAAAAAGTCTGCGGAGGATAGGAAGTATGGGAAACAATTCGTTCGAAAGCAACGGAGGAAGGATAAAACTAGAGAAATTTGTGGTAGGCAAGGTTCTGTGAGGTGTAGACTTGCAGCTGTTGTTGAATCTTCCTGTTGTAGCTCTCCTTGGTTTGCTTGTTTTTTGAGTTTGGTTTTGAGGTATATGAGGAGGGCGAATCTCAGATTGTTGCAGCTTTCTGGACTTGTGCTTTCAGAACCGCTTGCTCGTGTTTTTTCTTCCCATGGCATTCATTTTTTACGTGTAAGTAGTACAATTTGAAAGGAAAAGGAATTATATTTTTGTTTTTTGTTAAATCAAGTCAGATTTGAACTGCCTGGGTTAAAAATTGTAAAAAAGATTCCGGTTTGTTTAGTTATTTGATTTTATTTTGGCGGGTAGAGCAACGAGGTTATCGGGTTGAGTAATTAGTGACAACCTGGAAAGAGCGTTTTTGCGTTTTGGATAAGTAGTGACAACGTGGTAATCTCATTTTATATTATTTGAACGTTTCATTCTCATCGCTTTTCCCCTCTTTTATCATGGTCTCAGGATTCAGCCTGCACGAGAAGCTCTGGGATTTGCAAATTTTTCGGCGTCAGGTGTTTTATTCCATTGTTTTCTGTGGATTTTTCTGCAGTTCCATTCTGCTTTATGTATATGCATACAAGCTTGCTTCTTAGATCTGCATGCTTCACTTTTGTTATTGTATCGTATTCAAATTCCGATGACCAAGAAATGATTGAAATTGTGGAACACCCTCCGTCCAGCTCTTCTGGGAGATATTCTGCTTTAAGTGAAACCATAAGTAATAGTGTCCCTGGAAAGAGGAGCGTCTTTCCTTCTGCGGCTGGATCTCGTAGACTGACTGGTAGAGCAGTACAGTTTAGGAATGGTGTTAATTCTCGTACCATACGGAAGAGAAGGAGTTCTCTGAGGTCTCGGAGAGTAAAGAATCCTTCTGTGATCCGTGGTCACAAAGCCAATGCCGCCACTGCCGTGGGTTCCAACTTTTATAGTTCTAGAAATGCTGGCATTTCATTGGTTTCTATGGCATCTGATCGTGAGCTGCGTTCTGTTCGGAAGAGTTTGACTCCCAACATCAGAGAACTGAAGTCAATGTTGGTAGAATCAACACATGATATCAGTTCAACCTGTTGCTCTGCCAACATTTTGGTTATTGAGTCTGACAGGTGTCACAGAATTAAAGGTGCCATTGTTGAGCTGGAGATTTCTTCTTCAAAACGATGGTCTCTTGCAGTGAAGAAGGATGGCAATACAAGGTACCGCATTATGGCTCAAAAAGTTATGAGATCATGTAGTTCCAATCGTATCACTCATGATATAATATGGACAGAAGATAATTATAGTTGGAAGCTTGAGTTTCCTGATAAACGGGACTGGTTGATCTTTAAAGAATTATACAAGCAATGCTCTGATCGCAATGCGCAGACTCCAAGTCCCAATGTCATCCCTGTTCCTGGGATATGTGAAATATCTGGATATGCCGAAGTCAAATATGTTCCTTTTAGACGACCAGATTCATACATTAGTGTGAAAGATGATGAGGTCTCAAGAGCATTGGCAAAGAGGACGGCTAATTATGACATGGATTCTGAAGATGAGGAGTGGCTCAGAAAGTTCAACAATGAGTTCTCTGTACAGAATGAGCTGGGGGACCCTGTCTCAGACGATATTTTTGAGTTAATAATTGATGCTTTTGAGAAAGCTTTCTATTGCAGTCCAGATGATTATGCCGACGAGGAAGCATCAGTTAAACTATGTTTGGATTTAGGAAGACAGGATGTGGTTGAAGCTGTGTACAGTTACTGGTTGAGAAAACGGAAGCAAAAACGTTCAGCACTTGTCAGGGTTTTCCAGGTAAAAGCATGCTGTATCAGAAGTAACATGTTACTGTAATTTTTACCATTAGCGTACTTATAATTTGTGCAACTGTAGCTTGTGTGCTCTCATGGTATCAACTAATGTTCTTTTTGTGTAGCTATGATTTGTTAATTTTGGATGATTATTGTCTCTTTCTTGTAATTTTATTTTATTATTTTCAAAATAATATGCCCCTTCTAAGTTTCTGTTCCACCATCAAGGTTGGTGTGCCATTGTTTTGTGTAAAAATTGCCCTTCAGACCTACTGAAGATGTTAGATATTTTTACATGCAACATCTCAAGATGTTGATGCAGTAATGCTATGTTATCTTTGAAGACTTGGAGAATTTCTTTCTTTGCTTTTGGAAAAAAGGTATTTTCTAATAAGATTTACTGTAGATTTTGTACTTCACCAGGGCAGATCCAGGACCAAAGACCTTTTTTTTCGGGGGCGGGGGTTTGGACAAAAATTCTAAGTGAACTTTGACAAAAGCAAATAAATATGATAGGTTGAAGGACTAATTCTTTATATAAATATAGATAACTAATTTTAAGATGGATCATTTTTTTCAAGGGAAAAAAAAATGGAAGCAAATTAGGAATCTTTTGGTAAAAAATTTTGTACTTTATGTATTTATTTTTTGGGTGCTAATCAATAAAAGACATTTTTCCAACCACCTCCAAGTTTATAATTTGTAAAAATATTTGAGGGGTAAAGTAATATTTCTGATTTTATATTTGCCTCACTGATATTTTTATTTTTATTATTATTTTTTTGGGTGGGGGTGGTGCTGCCTTACCTCGTTGTAGATTGGTCTCTGGCACACACCTTACAAGGGAGAGGTTAGTTGGATAATTGGAGCTATTGCATACATGCAGTGATTGATGTGCCTCTCTTAAACAATTTTTTCCTCAGTTCAAGCAGCAAAATTAAATAACTGATTCCGTTTCTTTGGAATAAGAACCCTGAGCAAGGCTGCATCTTAATTTTAGTTTCGTGCAGAGCAAAAAATATCCTATAATATGTTTAAATGATAGTCAAACTGCTTTTATCCAAAGTTACTTTTAGGGAAGAACTCAACTGTCATGCCAATTTCTGGGGCTATAATAAAGTGAAATTCATTTTTGTTGAAAAAATAAAAAAGTTATTGCTCTATTATCTAAGACATATATTTAAAATAATGATTAAAATGACTGGTTGTTGTTAATAGGCTCGCTTATTGTAAATAGATTGATTGCTCATTTCTACTTGCAAATTAAATTGATTGCTTCTTGTTAATAGGTTTTGTTTTAGTTATTTGTAATTAAGCGTTTGATTATCCATATAAATTTGTTCATGTAGGTTTTGTATACAGAGGGTACAATAATAGTAATGTATTGCTTTGGCCTTTTGTCATTATTATTTCTACTCTCTTTATTTTCTATTTAGAAAAGTCAAACTAAGCCAATGGGGTATGAGGTTGTCGAAAATTCTTGGAATCCTTGTGATTTAAAATAGCTACTCAATGCCTGTCAGTGCGGGCACAAGGTTGAAATGAGCATGCACATTGTGCACATGCCTTTTGAAGATTTGTTCTGAAGTAGTATGAAATTTTGTTTTGCTGTATGCCCTCTGGGATGAATGGTGTTGGTGGCTTTTCTTGCTGTCTTTTTATTGTTGGTTCTGAGTAGCAGATATTTACTGGCAGTGTTATCAGCCAAGGAAAGACCAACTGCTTCCAAAGCCAATTTTACGCAAGAAAAGGTCATTTAAACGACAGGGAAGGCATCCCGGGAGAGGCAAGCAGCGAACTTTTTTGCGAGGTTTGTGCTTCTAGCACTGTGAATCTCCTGTTGGCCACTAGTTACTTTGGGGTAATTGAATATGCTTTCAGCGAGTAAACTAGGAATTTGTTTAAGTATTGATCAAATGGGTACTATAATCAATCTTTGGGATTTCTATTACTGTAATATTATAGTGTTTGTATGCTTTATTTGTATATTTGGGGACCCTTCAGGGAAGGGAATTCAGATCAATCAAGACAACCCTTTTTCTGAATATATTATAAGTGAATTGATTTTGTATTTTTAATTTGTTTCTAAATATATTAATACATGAATATCTTTTGAATGAATGTACAGCAATGGCAGAGGAACAAGATGCTGCGGAAGAGCAGAATGCCTTACTCAAAGTCCAAGAAGCAAAAGCTGCAGCAAGTCAATCGGAAGTTTTTGCTGTTGCGAAGCGTCAGAGAGCTCAGCTTCTCATGGAGAATGCAGACTTGGCAGCTTACAGAGCTGCAATGGCCCTCAGAATTGCGGAAGCAGCTCGAGTTGCAGAATCCACAGATGCTGCTGCCTCTTTTTACCTTCAATAAAGGGTATAATTATTCCTAATGCTAACCCAAATGGCAAAATTTTTTACTTATGCAAGGGAGTTCAGCCTCGTGGTTGTTTTTCAAGCCCTTTGAGGTCAGCCTTTTTAAGGTAGAAGTGTATTTTTGTATAGATTTAGATTGGTTGTACATTGTGTATTGTTAATACTTAACATCCCAAATTGTAAAAGGAAATTTGGTTGATATCTTTGACAGTTTTTTATGTTTTTATTTTCATCCTTGATAATGCATAATGATATTTTCATATTAACAGGATTTGCATATAATTGTTTAATTTTTTTGGTCGATTAATCCAACCATGTCAAATTTTATTCCAAGGATTGGTGAGTAACAAGGTTACACGCACACATGCAAATTTGTACTACTATTATAAACGAATATTCAAGTAAATGTGGGGGAATAATTTTTAATTGACGGCGACATTTAAGTTTTCCTTTTAAAATTTTTCTCATAAAATTATTTCAGCAAAATCATTTGTCAGGAGAGGCTTGCTATTGTAAGGAGTCATGCCACTAAGCACGCCCTAATGTTTTTAGAAGGTGTTTGTAAAATGTTTTTGAAAAATTAGGGTAAAGATTAAAGTAAAAAAGGATTAGCAGTGAATTATAATAAAAAATTAGAAATAGTTATAAAATATATTATAAAATTTTTAAAGTAGAAAAATTGGCGTTTAAAATATGATTCTTGTAATTTGCTTTGCAAGAAAAAGTTTTTAAAAAAAATTTGGAAGAATTTTATGTGGTAATTTTAGATTTTAAAAAAGTTCAAAAATATATATTCAATATGGTTTTTGTTTAATTATAATAATAACATTTATAGTTAAAAGTATCGTTTTCTTATACTTTTAAAATATATTTTTAATTTTATTTTTTCTTATTTAAATAAAAAATAAAAAATAAAATAAATTTTAAAATATCTCAAAAATAATTATATATATTAAGAAAACTAAATCACTTGCAACAAGTTATTTTAAACACCACTTAAATACCATTCTATTTATTTATTATTTCCAGTTAAAGCGCTCCAGCTGAACTTCATTCCGAAGCAAAACAGATTTGGGAAAATTTGCAAGCCTGACGGCTTGCATAACAAGATATTCACAATCACATATGAGGATGACAATTTTACACCTACTCCATGGTTACCGTAAAATTTAGGAAATTACTAAAAGGAAAAATTAAAAAATAAAAATTACTTTAAAGTCTTTAATTAAAAATATTTTTAGAAAATGTTACAAATCAAAAATTACCTGTTTAAGGTAATTTTTATACCAATAATACCCTAAAACCCCCACCCCCTTCTTCTCTTCTCCTTCTTGGGTTAATCAATATTTTAGTTCCTCGCAAGATCTTGCATCATGACTTGTAAAACCCCAACGTTAGTTATTAATAAATAAAAAAAAAAAAACTCAACATGATCCGAATGTCCGAGACGTTCGGATCCACAAAGCCACGAACAGATATCCACCAAATTCGTGATTTTGGCAACGGATTTGAGTCAATCACTTATAAATTGGGTCAATCGGCAAAAGATTTACAAAAGCCCATAGAGAAATTTGAAAACCAGTTACCGAAATTCTGAGAATTTTGTAGAACCTGCACAAGCAGTCCGTTGGCCATTCCAACAAGTTGAGAGCTTTTGGCTCGATTAATCCAACTGAGAGGTGTCGTCTGGCCATTTTGATTATTGTGACAACTTCCATCTCGGATTTCGATCGAGCTTCAGGTGAGATTTTCTTGTTGTTTTGCTTCGGTTGGTTTACAGAATCTGGGTGAAGGGGATGAAACCCGTTTGGTGATTCGGGTTGGGCGCGACCCGGATTCTTGATTAAATTGGGCCGGCCATTGGGCCGCCTTAAAGGGCTTGGGCTGAATTATTATTTTTGAACATGGGCAGCCCAGACAGTTCTGGGCCGAATGTAAAATCTTTGTGTCTGGGCCATAGCCAGAGGGCTAGGCCCAGACCAGTAAAAGAGGCTGGGTCATAAGGACCCGATCTAGAATTCTGGATCTAGCCAAGGGAATTATTTGAAATAAAATAATAGCAGAAATTATTAATTAAGGCCGAAATGAGAAAACAGCCGGTTCAGTGGATTCTGGACTAATTCTTGGCCAGTTCAAAGCATCATTATGAAGCTAATTTAAGTACCTACCTGATTCTATGCCGGTTCAAGTGGAAACCGGCCGGTTCAATAGTGAAGCGGCCGGTCTAATATTAAAGAAATTCATAATAAATTAGAAAACCACCGGTTCATGCTATTTATGGCCGGTTCAGGGCCATTACTCACTAGTTCAGTGAATCTAAAATTGGTTCAATGATTTTAATGATTGGTTCTACGTATTTCGAGGCTAGTTCAGTAGGTTTAAGCCTGGTTCAATGGGTTTTATGGCTGGTTTAAGGGGTTTAATGCCGGTTTAATGGTTTTGAGATTGAATTAATGGGTTTTTTTCTCGATTAAGTGGTTTTCCTCACTAGTTCAATAAGTTTCACGTTCGATTCAATATGTAAGAGGTCTAGTCCAGTATTATATCGATCGATTTGAGACTTTAAAATTCCCGAAGTGGCTTAAAACATGAAAATCAAGAATAGGGTTGGGTTTTTAAGAATAAATTAGTTTTTAATTAATTTTGAGAAATATTATGTTCTAAAATGAATAATTTGATTATCTTTAGATTAATTGGTCGACTTTCGGGGAGTTGAACCACCGAAGCTCGATTTTCGTGATTCTCGGTTTCTGTGAGTAATAATAGATATTTATATGTTTAAATTGCTGTTATACTTGTTTAAATTCCTGTTTTTACATATATTGAAATTATTTCAGTTATTATCCAGTTTGAATTAAATTGTTAGAAAAATTACAAGGGACGTATATGTCATTTTTTGATTTGTCGGAGAACTTCTGAATTTCTAATTTTGAACACTGGCATACTTTAGAGAATTTGAAAACTAATAACTCATTTTGTTAAACTTTGATAATTGATTTTAAGGGAGTATCGAGCTGTTAGAACACTGTAACTAGCGGCAGTAGGCGTTAGACTGGGTGCACTTTAGCTTGTATCCCCAGCTAGCAGGGATGGTGCTAGACTATCACGTGTGGCTGACGTGGTAGGCCTGTTTGTTGATTTACGGCAGACTTTGAGTTGTTGTCCTGATATCTGTATATCGGCATACGATGAGTTTGTCGTCCTGTTTCTGTTTGGTTCTAAGTGTCGAACTCCCTAACTTGTATGAATTGAGAATTATGCTTTAAAACAATAAATGTTTGATATACGTCTCTCACATGTAAATATGTGTTATTATTCACTGGGTCAATAGACTCATTCTTTTATTTTCCAGACTCAGGTTCGACTCTACTGACAGATCTTGCAGCGTGATAGGAGTCGATCGATCTTGACTATCTGATTCAGTTCTCGAGATAGTAGTTAGTTTCTATTTTATTCTGATGTATTGTTTTGTTTCTTTTAGTTAGCTCTGAGATCACAGGCAGGTTTTCAGTGTAGAGACATGTTTTGATGATTGTTTCATATTTCAGATTTTGATTTAGAAATTATGCTTATTTATGAAATTTTCATTTTCGTGTTTGAAAGGCTTGCTGGGTTGGAATTCGTTCTAATCCTAGCGCTGGTCACGGATCCGACGCCTGGGTCGTGACATGACCGAACTAAGCTTCCTTCATTCTTCTTCTTCTTCTTCCTTTAGCTACTGCATCTGCTTAACTTTTGAGTTCTTATTATTTTTCCTCCTCCTCCTCCTCTTCCTCCTTCTTCTTGCTGATTAGACACCCTTGAAAGCGCTTTATGCCACCCGATCCAAGCTTCTCTTGCCTAGCCAAAACCCTCTGTGTCAACTGAAGCAAGCTTCTCTTACCCACGCAAAGGCCTCCATCCCGTACAATCCAAAGTTTCGTCCAGCTTTTTCTTCATCTTCCTTCATTTTCTTGCTGCTTAGATGCAGTTTTGATTGTACTCTTCCACTCCAAACTTCTTGCTTCGTAATTTGTTTACACAATCCGATAGCTGTATATTGCTAGTTCCATATCGTACAACAACAGATACATAATTGTAAGGTGACAAATGATCGATTGTAAATTAACAAATGTTTGGTTGGTTATATATTGATAGATAGGTGACTGTCTTAAAGATTCATAATTATAATAAGACAAATTGGCCAATATAAAAAAACAAATAGATGATTATAAGAAAATAGATGATTGAGTTGTGCAACTATAGATTAGTGATTGTAAAAAGTTAGATGTATAATTATAATATAAAAGACCGTTGACTTAAATAACAGATGTATAATTGTAATAAAAAAGAAAACTAATATTTGACTATAAAAATAGAGATACATGAGCGTAAAAATACAAATAAGTGATTGTAGAAAAATAGATGGTTGTGCATGAAATAAAAGATGCATGATTTTAAGAAGACATATAGAGGAGTGTAAACTAACAGATCCACAGTTGCAAAATGACAAATAAACAACTGTCAAATGATAGATGCATGATTGTAACGCAACAGATGAGCATAAGAAACAAATACGTGATTGTTAAGTGATAGATGCCTGTGTGCAATTACAAATTAGTGATTGCAAAATGATAGATGTATGATTGTAAAATGATAGATTGGTGGCATGAATAATAGATATATGACAGTAACAAAAGAGAAATAGATACTTGATCATAAAAATACAAATAAGTTAGTATAAAATTACATATGAACTATAGTAAAAAGACTGATGATTACGTGTAAAATAACAGATGCATGGTTAAAAGAATACAGATGGGCGTGTGTAAAATAACAGATCCATATTTGTAATATAATTAATAGGAGACTGTCAAATAACTGATAAATGATTGGAACACAATAGATTGTTTAGTATAAGAAATAGATATATGATTGTGAGTGATAAATACCTGAGTGTGCAATTACAGAGAATTGATTGCAAACTGAAAGATGTATGAACGTAAAATATTAAGTTGG